ACCCCAGTGCCCCCAGCCGCTCCTCACAAGGCCTGTGCTCCAGACCCTTCACCAGCCTTGTTGCCCTTCTCTGGACACACTCCAGCACCTCAATGTCTTTCTTGTACTGAGGGGCCCAAAACTGGACACAGTATTCCAGGTGTGGCCTCACCAGCGCCGAGTACAGGGGGACAATCACGTCCCTGCTCCTGCTGGCCACACTATTGCTGACACAGGCCAGGATGCTGTTGGCCTTCTTGGCCACCTGGGCACACTGCTGGCTCATGTTAAAACAGTATTTGGAGCCTTTGCCATCCTGGCTTAGTAGCAAATTTAGTTTATATAACTATAAAAAAAGTAACCCCGAGTAAACTGTCATATTTGAAGTTTATAGTTTTTCATAACTAATTGTGTAGCACATAAAACTTAAAGTTGCATTATCTGTATTATGTAACAGCTCTCATTCAAAAAAGCATTTCATATCTTGAAGACTATAATTATATTTTATAAACCTAAGCTATGTTTATGTTATTTCAATAAATATTTTCAAGAAGGAATTAAAAGCTTTTGAGTTGTACAAAAAATTAACTCTAAGTCATTTATGTGCTCTGATCAAGTTCTTGATAAATACTGTATAAATCATGTAACATTTATGTTTCATTGATGGAAAAATGTGCTTAAAAACATAGTTTAGGAAATTCAGTAGCCAGCCCCCTAAGTCACTCTTGCATACATATGTCATTATCAGTCTTTATAGCACACAGTATTTTTAAGTTTCAGGTTACATAACCACACAGATTTCACTGGAGGCCTATAAAACATGGTATGCTACAAGCAAGAAATATGTTCAGTGTTTTAATTTGTATCATTAGGAACGCCCCAATTAAAAAAATGCAGCTTACCAGACAGGTGACATCTCCTCACTGTTGTACACTTCTGTTAGAAGTTTACCCAGAGATTTGTTTCCGCAAACAGGGAAAGTGATTAGTACAAACACCTATCAAGCTAAAAGTTTCTCTTCTGCCATCTACTTTGGCTCTTGTAATGGATACATCCACTATAACCAAACACTTCCCACAGAAACAACTGCAATTTGTCAATTGCTTAAGCTGCATAAGTCATCCTCAGAGCTGTGAATTTTTTCCAGCTGTATTTTATCTCCTTTTATCAGCTATTTTTATCTTTGTCTAGAAATGTTATTAAATGATATTACATTTAAATGTTAGGTGTTATTTTATGTGGAAATGTTTGGATCTATCTAGAAGTCAGGTTCCTTCAAAAGTGAGAACCCTGCCACATTCACTTGGGCATTACTTGTTACAAGCTGTACAAGATCAATCTAGAACATGCCACTGGTAATGCCCCACTTACATCCAAGGACCATAGTTTGAGGGAGGCCTAAGTACAACTCATAGTAGCCTCAAAATATTAGTGAGAGCAGACTCAGAGAAAAGACACTCCATCTGAATCTAACCAATACAAGCATATCCTATGCTTTTTATTTGCTCCCCAATTTTTGTCACGGGGTTTGTTCACCCCCCAAAACATTTTAGGAAAAAGTTACAAAATCCAGGTATCAAACACTCCACTAGCATAGCTGGGTCTTACCTTTGTCTTGTCCCTCATAGAACCTTTTCCCAAAATAGACATTTTTGTCAGTGTTTCTTCCTGTAAACGCTTTAGAGAATTGCCACGTGGACCCAAAAGTTTTCCCACAAAGTTGAACTGCAAGGAAACAAAAAAACATTAAGCTCATCAGATTTTTAAGCATAAGTGAAGAAGCAAAATGGAATATTTTGCTGAAGCAACTTTTTGTTCTAGGTGCAAACAAGTATTAGATCATAAACTACAAAGTCATTAAGACAGTTAACAGTATCAGTGGCTCCACCAGGTGCCAACAGAAACACAGAAGTATCTGAACTCAAAGAACTCAAATAGTATAAAGAGAACCTTGTGTTTATCACATTCAACACTGACAACAGATGTGCTCAAACTGCAATTCAATTTTCAACAATTGTTTCCAGGTACATAAAGCCATAAAAACAAAGCTGGCAGCAGTCTTAGATACAATACTAACCAACCAAAGCTCCGAAGGAAAAAAAAAAAAGACATCTTAATTGCCTTATCCTCCTTTGAAGATTTATGAAGTAATACAGCAACCCATACAATATACCCTCGACTAAACACAGACACAAACAGGGAATGAAATCCAGAGAACATAAGCATATAAATCCAGTCCCAAACCAGAATCACTCAAGATCTTCCCAACTACCACTCAACCCCCATTATCACTAAAAGTTTACCAAAACCAGTTGGGGTTCATAACCATGGCATTACACCATTAAGATAACAAAGGAGCAGAAAATGGTGAGCCACAAAAATAAAGGAAGACAAGGAAAACCCAACCATTTCCATTCATAGAAAACACCAAAACATACAGCTGGTGCTTTTTCAGCCCAGAAAGTGCTTCAGAGGGAAAGGAGGTTAAAGGAAACAGGTATCAAAAATCCATTCATAACAAAGGAAAACAAAAAGGGAGAACCTGCCTACTGTCACTTCAAGGACACAAAACTAGACTTAGTAGAGCTAGGAGGTGTAAAAGTTCTGAGTTCCATAGGGCATATATTCCTAGTTACACATACCAGAAGAAAAGCTGTGTACATTCAGCAGTCCACTTTTGTGTATCACTGCACTGCATTTTGGAAGCTATATAAAATTTGAAGGGTAGTAACAGAGAAGACTTGAGGATTCACTTAAAGTATGCAGACAACTATTTCAGTTGGAAAAAAAATCACAAAAAAGAGCTGATAAACATAAGCTACACTTGGAAGTTGGTATGGAATGCTGTAAACACTTCCTGAAAATATTAATTTATTCCTGTATTGGATTTACATGCCAAGGTTTTGGTTGCTGGAAGCTGCAGGGCTGGATTCCATGAGAAGATGCCAGAAGCTGCCCCATGCTGGACAGACCCAGCTCCAAGACAGACCCACCATTGCCCAAAGCTTGGCCCATCAGTGACATAGCACCTCTGTGATAACATACTTAAAGGGTAAAAACACTGTGAAGTTGAGACAAGTGAGAACATGAGAGAAACAACCCTGCAGACACCAAATTCAGTGAAGGAGGGGGAGGAGGTTCTCCAGGCACCAGAGCAGAGATTCCCCTGCAGCCCATGGTGAAGACCATGGTGAGGCAGCTGTGCCCCTGCACCCATGGAGGTTAATTATGGAGCAGAGATCCACTGCAGCCTGGGGAGGACCCCACACCAGAGCAGGTGGATGTGCTGGAGGAGGCTGCAGCCCATGGAGAGCCCACACTGGAACAGGCTCCTGGCAGGAGCTATGGCCTGCAGAGAGGAACCCACACAGGAGCAGATTTTCTGGCAGGACCTGTGACCCTGTGGGGGATGCGCACTGGAGCAGTTTCTTCCACAGGGTACAGTCCTTCAGGAAGGGACCCATGGTGGAGCAGTTCTTGAACTGCAGCCCATGGGAAAGACCCACACTGGAGCAGTTTGTGAACTAATGTATCCTGTGGGAGACACCCCAGGCTGGAGCAGAGGAAGAGCATGAGGAAGGAGCAGCAGCTGTTATGAGCTGACCACAACTCCCATTCCCTATGCCCCTGTGCCATTTGGGGGAAGGAAGTAGAAGAATCAGGTCTGAAGCTGAGCCTGGAAAGAAGGGGGGCATGTAGGAAAAGTTTTTAGTTTTATTTCTCAAGTTTTTAGTTTTATTTCTCACTATCCTTCTGTTACAATTAATAATTGTAATAAATTAAATAAATTAATCTTCCCCAAGTTGAGCCTGTTTTGCCCATGACTAGTTGGCAAGTGATCTCCCTGTCCTTATCTCAGCCCACAAGCTCTTCATCTTACTTCCTCTCCTCATCCTGTTGAGAAAGGGGAGTGATAGAGCAGCTTGGTGGGCACCTGGCAGCCAGCAAGGTCAACCCAACGACAATTCTTGTCAAAATAATACTGCAATAGAGATTGCTTATCAAACTACTGTTCAGGAATATTTACTATTCCCAATGAAACTTTGTAAAACCAGGATATTCACACTGTTGGAATCTGACACAATCATGTTAAAAAGATTTTTAGGCACAAGTAAAATACAGTTATGCTAAAGAGCAAACAGGCTTAAACTACTTGTTTGTGGCCTCAAATTTATGAAACAGTTTGTAAGTTCTTTGAGTGTTCCTCTACTACTGTGTCACTAAGGGCCAAGACGGGCTTCTTTGATCTCCCTGTTCCTCTGGGGAAATTTGAACACTTGACAATGAGTAGCAGCTTAAAAGCTGTTGTTGCTACATTGGAAGTGCTGATGGAGAAGAGGCCCAGCTGCAGTCACCCTGCAATGCAGAAAGTCTACAGCTCCAGTTCACCTACTTCCACTTTAGACAAAAAGAAATGCAAGCATTAGAAGACTAGTAAATATGAAAATTAATTTTACTCCCCTTAGTACTTGCAAGTTCAACTCCCAATGTAATCCTGAGTTAGAACAGAGATATAACTGAGCAAATTACTTATGGATTACTGTAGTCCACAGAAGCTATGAAATTTAAGGCCTTGCATGAACTAGTCTTTTCTGAAATTATCAGGCCAAGTCTCAATAAATCCTCAGGCAATTTCTTTAAGTTTATTTTATTAGGTATATTCCTTTTTTTCCATATAGGTCCTAAGATACAGTCAAGGAAACATTCATCAGAAATAGGTTGCCCAGCAAAACAGTAGAAATCTCCCTTGCTGAGAACATTCAGGACTTAGGGCCACTGATGGGACCCTATGTAATCTAATTTACAGTCATGATTTCAACTGAAGGTTGGACCAGATGTTCTCTAGAGGTCCCTTCCAACTTGGACTTCTGATTTTATCACTTCTGAAGTATAACTGCAAGGAAAGCAAACAAATTGAAACAATTCATAACAAGTCTGAACTTCCAGAAGTCAGTAACTCCTTGTCAACAGTTTCCTTAAATAAAGGATCATTACTTATGAACAGGGAGTTCACAGTTAAGCTCAAATGACAGCTTTCATATAGTGGAATACCACATCAGTTTTTCAAGCATTACTTAAGATATTCGTTTACTTTAAAATAGCCTTATAAGTTATTAGGAACAAAAATAAACACTGTATACTTTTAAAATAAGAGATTTTCCATTTACAGTAAAGTATACTGGAATTATTTCAGAGAGTTGAGTACCTGCAGTCTGATACAGTCTAAATTTCTAGCAGTAATCTTAGTTAAAATACTCGGGTGAAATTTTCCTCGATTTGACTGCAACTTAAGAGTAGGCAAGCATGTATTTAACTATGCAATGCATAGCTCTGAATATCACTTTGTAACTGGAACAAACAACTACTGACAATTAAATACAAACTACAAATCATAACAAATGGAAGTGCATACCTGCAACAAAACTGAAACCCACTTTGTATGTAATCAAAGTAACAAAAAGGCTTCAGTGCTCAGAGAAGATTGGGGTGTTCCAAAGCACATTTGTTTACTTCAGCTGTATTGCTTATTTTAATAAGAGCCAAATGGTTTAATATGTTGTACATATATAAGACTTGACCTTATAAAACTTCAGTACCACCAAAAGTTGTCACCTTCTCAAAACCAAAAAATCTCTAGTGTTGAAGCTAAACATTATGGTAGCTACACAAGTAGCTGCACAGATTACATGTTCTAGACAACACAATGAACATGAAAATGTATTAGCTATATCCTGAGATCCACTGAACTATTCTCTCATGCGCTGAGGCTCCAAATATTAGATTTGACAAGTCTGAAGCATGAGAAACCTGTGCTACAAGTCTGAAATTCTGCTGATTTGAAAACACAGTACCTCTAGATGTAGCTTAAAAAACACGATGAGCATTGAAGATTACTAAAAAATGGCTTACACAGTCCCAGAGCCTTTTTGCTCCCATGTAACAAAGCTAAAAAGCTTTAGAACATTGCAGTTGATTATTCCATAAAACCCATTTATGATATTGAATGAATCCTTTCAGTAGAAAACAGATTGAACAGTACTTTGAACAGGTACTGGATTTTGTTTGAACTATTGGTTTATGTCCCTTTTGCATCAAATTGGAAACATCTGATCAAAGGTTTATTTTGAAATATTTCATAGATATGTAGAAACACTCAAAAGGATATCAACTACCAAGTTACTATTATTTATACACTTCTTTATCCCCAGCAATCAAGGAGTAGGACTCAAACCTAAAGGTACAAAGCCAGCACACAGTAAGACAAGTTTTCATTACAAAATTAACAAATCCAGCCTATATGCTGGTGAAACAGAAGCAAATAAGCCTGGCAGATCCAAGTTAGCTCTTACACAAGACAGTTCACATACAAGTTTCATGGGCACTTCCCATGCCTCACATTCCTAGAGTTTATTTGCCCAAGAGCACAAGGACAAAACAAATTCAGGTCTAGTATTGAACTCAAGCTTATAAACTATCTCTTAGAGGCACTGGATAGTAACAAAAAGACACCTGAGCAGCTCTGTACAAGTCTGATCAGCCACATTCAGTAGCTCTGGCTCAGAATCAGACATGCCAGACTCCCCTCTTCACTCACTCTTCTCCAGTACAGCACAATCAGATCTGAATTGCCATAAATACCCAAGATTTTCCTCAAGTTCACTAGCTTCAGCTTAACATTGTATTAAAGCAGTTGCACTGCTTTCCAGTGCAAGCTGGTCTGGAAG